TTTTTTTCTGCTGTTTCAGCTGTTTTTCTGCTCCTTTGTTTTTTTCTGCTAAATTAAACTTTTTTTTTGCTTCTTTCAGTTTTTCAAATTGAACTTGCATCAACAGTTTTGCTCTTCAACACTTTCAGCACCATTTCAGCATCAAGTTTTTAGCTGTAAGTGTTCACACTAGTATTTTCACAGGAAATTTTCTCCAGTCCAGAAAGGCTGCCACAGTTAACTAAAAATAAAAACGATTTTAACTCACTTTTACAAATGGAGACAAAATTCTGGTAGCAGATATTCACATGAAGAAATTTTTTGCCTTTTTTAATAGTATGGTCAAAGGTGCTTTGTCTCCAGTGGTACAATAAAAAAAAAAACACTCTGAGTGTTGTCGGCCACTCGTGGAGATAATTTGCATGACTGTAAAGTTCATACATGACAGGTAGTCACACCCAGCATTCCTCTGTCTGAGAGTTGGGGGGAGGAGTGGCGTCCCCTCCTCCGTCTTTAGGATCAGGAATGATGATGAGCAGAGGAGGATGATGAAGTGCAGACACACAGCTGATACAGAGATAGTGGTCACAGCAGGAGGCTGATGGGAATCAGAACACTGAGCAGGACAAACGTCAAATCAAGTGGAAGATCTTCGACTCTGAAACAAAACTTTAGTTCTCTTGGAAAAAAGCAACATCTGTGGAAAAACTAGTTTACAAAGATTTGCTAAAACAGACAGGTTTCTCTGTATGTTTTGAAGAGTTTGACCTTAAAATGAAAAAATTAAGCTTTCAAATAAAACCATGTTTCCTATGAAACATGGAGCGTCTCAGTTTTGAAGCTGCTGCAGTGCATCGAGCAYGAGGAACCTTTCATCTGTGCAGGCAACAGTAAAAGACTAACACTTCTCAATCAAAAGCCTTTGAACAGAATAACCAAAACATGCAGCTAAAACCAGTCAAGGATGGCTTAAATGATCCAGGAGCTCAGATCTTAATCTTACTGAACATGAAAACTGCAGCAAGGAGACCAGTGGCGGATCTAGTATTTTTCTGAGTAATGGGCCATCAAGGGGCCACAATACTCATAGAGGGGCCAACTTGTTCAGCATGCTTGCACACAAATCGCTGGTTTTGGTATGTTATCACATATTATATGTATTTTACCAGTCACATGCTTAAACACTTGTAATTTTAAAACAGCTTGCATTAAATTCTCCTTACCAAATGTACATGCATTTTACAGTACATAGATAAAATACTCTCAAACACACAGCATGTGAGAGAATCCAGCCACCTTTGGAGGGTTGAAAGACTTTTTCTGCAGGATTGTTCAAATTTTAAGAAAATAAAAAACTCATGCTGGATGTTTATCTTTTGGCTCATTAGTGCCCCTAGTGTTTAGCTATGGAATTGCGCCCAGCATTATTACTCTTGAGCAAAGGACAGATGAGTGACAGGAAGTGGCACTTCAGGGGGCCAATCAAATTTCAGCAGGGGCCAATGCCCCTGTGGCTCCGCCCCTAGAACCGCCCCTGGAGGAGACATCATCCATCTAACCTGTTTAAACTACCTAAAGGAGATCACCTGGTAGTAGTGATTGTAGCAAAATGCTACAAATTAAAGGAACAGTAAACCTTTAGTATACATAAAGTTATAATACCCAACCCTGTTTCTCCTGCAGTATTTGCATAATCTAAGGGCTTGCTGTTATTTAAAGTGAACTTTTCCTTGCTGCAGCTCCAGTTTGTTGTCTTCTGTTTGGCTGTGAGTTCAGCTTTGTGTTTACTTTGAACCCAGATGTCATCCTGCCCGTAAACATCTCCGTGTTTGGTCAGTTTATTTGACGAACACGAGGCCTGCGCTTAAAACGGTCAAATTAAATCTCCCAAAGCACAAGGCAGCRCTGCTAAAACAAAACAAATTTTTTTATTAGAAAACCCTGCGGGACTCCTATCACTCATACATTCAGCTTCCCTGATGAGTTCAGCTCAGTGACGTTAAAGACTTAAAGACAAAAATGCTGAAACTTTCAGCTGATAGGAAGACGTCTTTAAAATAGTGCAAACAGAAAACTTGCAGTGTGAGGTAGAGATCGGCGTCACAGGAAGCAGCTAAATACTTGATTAAATAAACAAAACAAAACAAAACATTTAACAGCACCAAGATATGAAAAAATTAAAAATATGAGATTTGGGGATTTTTCTAGTTAAAAGTTACAAAACAAAACGAGTCAACACAACTCCAGTAACACTGAAATAAATGAGAAAAAACAACCGTAATAGTGTCTGAGCCACTAAGAAATATAAAATTATCTGAAACATTGCCATTATTTAGGTACAAAATGGTTCATTATCAGTAAAAACATTTAGTTTTGACTTTTTTTTTAAAGCTTCAACTTGCTGCAACACGAATACATTCAGGCGGTCGTTATGAATAGACAACATTCAAAAACAATCATAAAAAGATGTGCAAACATGGTCTGCAGTGCAAAGACAGCAGCAGGTTTCACTGAAACACTGAGGTAGATTTGTGTTGTTGTATAGCTGGAGGTAGTTTGAATCAGTGAAACCAAAGTCCCGCTCCACCCTGAAGACGCATCGTTTCTTTTAAAAACACAGACCTGAGAAACGGAACACTGGCTCCAAATCAAACTGTTCACAGTTCACGTAGAACAACACACCGTGTCCCGAGTTGCATTAGAAATGTGTTTTCTTTACAGCTGATRCAAGCAGAAACCAGGGGAGGCTCAGAACTGATGGTACCGGTTCAGAGGAGCCCCGTTCTGCAGGCCGTACAGACCCTTGGCTTGCGGGTGCACGTATGCGTTCTGACTGGTCGGCAGCAGTGCATCGAAGACGCTTTTATTCGGAGGAGCAGATTGCAACATGTGGTCCAGGTCCACGATTAAAGGCGGGGCTTGRACCGAGACCTGTCTGCTGGGGAGGAGGGGCCAGTAGGGGTGACCCAAGAAGTGGCCCGGCGCCAGAGGAGAGCCGCTGTAGCCGTAGAGAGGGAGTCCGCCGTGCAGGGGCAGCAGGGGGGCGCCGTTGAATCTCATGCTGGGCGGGGCGACGGCGTTGGGGGGTGGGTACTTGGAGTAGGAGGTGGGCAGCTCCCAGGGGGGTGCGAACGTCTCCCGTCTGGACGATTTCTGCAGCGGCGGCCTGTGGCCCTCGCAAGCCTCCGACGTGGGCTCGTAGCTGGGAGGAAGACGCTTCGCAGAGTGCCGCACTGCTTTCCATTCCTCRTCAGAGGAGGAGGAGGAGGAGGCAGGGCTCACAGAGCTGGCGGAGGCACTGAGGGCCGAGGAGGTGTACCGAGGCCGCTCCTCCTCCCCCCAGCAGTCCCCCACGGCCACGTCTCCGTCCCCGGAAGCGTTTGCAGGCCGCAGGCTGTGCAGCAGGGAGTCGATGGCGAAAGACAGCTCCAGCTTGGGTCGAAAGGGGTCCCCCTGCGGCAGCGGGAGGTCGGCTGGCTGCGCAGGAGACAGGGAGGTGGCGGAGCTGGCGGGCGGCTCCGACTCCGGCGTGTACCCCTGCAGGATGTAGGGCGCCAGGTCCTGAGCGAAGATGGTCTCGTCCTGGCGCGACACGGCCGTGTTCTGCCTCTTCAGGAGCTCCAGGGGGACGCGGCTCAGGTCCACCGTCCAGAAGTTACCTTTTCCCTGAGGTTTGCTCGGGTCCTTCAGCACCTGGAGGAGGACAGAGGCACGGGTTCTGGTCAGACCACTTCCACGAAAACCCATCGGGACGACAGTGGAAGATAAGAACAGGGCGATCCCCAACTTTCTCTCAGAACAGTAACATTTCCTTTAAAGGGATCCCCGATTAGTTGTAACATTAGACTTTATTTGATAAACATTTATTTTAACTGTAAAATAAAGACTAAATATACTGTAGGCTGTTTGGTTTTGTAATTTTTTAAAAACATATTTTAACACGGATGGAGCCATTTTATTTACACGCAAAGCATTCTGGGTAAACGATGACGTGAATAGGTCCTTGGTGTGAGCGAGCTATATCCACCCTGAAGGTTAATCTTGGACAATATCTGATGATCGACTCTTTTAAATGAAACCAGAGAGCGTTGACAGAG